CGGGGCAGTGGCCGCCAGGGCTAGGCGTCTGAGGAGGTCTGTCCGGCGCCCACGCAAGGGGTGTGTCCATCCGGGAGGTTTCTCTAAGTGCCCACATGGAGGGCGACAGTCCACGCGGGCACTGACGACAGGACGCACCGCCTCAAAAAAAATCAAAGGGAGAAAGGAGGCGGAGGGAGGAGACAGGAGAGAGCAGGGAGGAACCGAAAAGCGGCGGCGGACACGGGGGCGCGGCTGTGAAGTGTGAGCCACCTGACCACACTATTAGGCGCGCGCGCCCGCCGGCGGCACGGAGCGGGGAAGGAGAGGAGAACGAGATGGGAAAGAGCGGGATCTGTCAAGGAACTAGTGCGCTTCTCCTGTTTTTCCTCCTCCTCTTCCTCCTCCTCCTCTTCCTCCTCCTCCTCCTCTTCCTCCTCCTCCTCTTCCTCCTCCTCCTCTGTCCTCCTCCTCCTCCTCCTCCTCCTCCTCCTCCTCCTGTTCCTCCTCAGTTCTCAGTTCTCAATTGCCGTCTGGTCAGCATGCAAGCACACCTGCCAGGGCGGGAAAAGGCGGCAGCTTGGGATTTATATGACTCCGACCCCGCGCCAGCATACCCCCCAAAACGGGAGAGTGGCTCAGGCGGAAGTCCCAAACGCAGACCTGCCCCGGGAAGCTCACCTTTGAACAGTTTCCGCCGCTCGCTGCAATTGCGAGCTGGATGACAGTTACCCAGAAACTTAGGTCCAGTTCTGGTGGTCGCAAAGCCACCGCACGCAGTGCATCAGCTTACAGGAAGTCCTGACCCTTGGAGCCAGGACACGTGGAGCTTGTGACCTCTGTGGTCATCATCAATCACAAGGCTGTGCAGCGTTGGGTTGAGGCCTCTGCATCCAACTCGGGATTCACAGCCAACACGTCGGAGACACTTTGAACAACGCCACTTCCCCCCCGCCCCCCACCAAACGAAAGTGTGGGGAGGCGGGGGCGGGGGCTTCGGTTTCCTCTCAACTGCCTCGCGGCTAATTCCCCCACCTTCTCCTGGAGCGGGGCCATTCTGCCAGCACCTTACCAATGCCTCGCACTAACTTGGCGCGGCACGACGTGGCCAACTTGATCATATCACAATCTGACTTACTGAAAGCGTTCTCATTCGCAGCGGCACGGGCATTGTGATCGGCACATGTATTGTCTAGAATAAACAACTCGTCTTGCTCATCCTGGGCCTGATCCAACTATCGGCGGGCCCTTCCCTTGCACGAAACCGACCACCCGATCAGCCCTCGTCACACGCGACATCGCCCCCCAGAAATGCCCCCGGGGGCACTTGGGCCCGAACATCCGAGAGGGGGGTCCCAGAAGAGCTTTGCAATCTACAAAAACATCATTGTCTTCTAGACCCTCATCACTAAAGACCGCGGCTAGAGCCCCCGCGGCGCGCTCAGCAGAGGCAGCTGTTTGAGACGAAGTGTCTGGGGGCCCAGCATAGAGCCCGCGGACCAGGGTCCCGTCTTCAGTGATTTCCACCACTGATCAGCCCGCACGGGCCAACGTGGTCGGGCGCCGAGGGTTCACACAGCTACCATCAGAAAAAATATGGCGCCTGACGGGAAGTTAAACGGGTCGCATGGTCCGCCATGCTCTCCAAAGAATTTGGTGTGCCACGCAGACTCTGGCCTAGCGAGGTCCAATCTCGCTACCCAGGCACGCGCGAACAACGGGCGATCCCCCCCCGCCTCCAACGCCTGACGAACCAGCTTCCCGAAGGCCTCCACCCTAGTCGGCTGGGCATGCGGACATCTCCATATCCCATGCCACAACGTGTCCTTACATCCGCAGCGAAGGCAAATATCGTTTATAGTGAAACCCCATTTCTTTAGCAGCACACGCGCCGGGTAGGAGCCGCACCAGACCCGCCGAAACAACCGGGCCTCGCGCCCCGAAAATTCGCCCCCCCCCCTTCGACGCCAAAGATTTTCTCGAAAGCTCCCACCACAAACCTCGATGAAAGATGCCTTGCCATCCTGCGGCCGAGCTAACATATTTTGTCTGGACCACTCGCTGCACACACTTGTCTTTAAGCTGTGAGACAAACAAATCCTTAACATAAACTGGCGAGTGGGCTGCGAGAACAATCTCCACCCCTCGCCTGTCGAGAAATCGGGCAGGGGCTTGCATTCCCCACCCCCGCTTCTAGAAGCCACAAAATAACGTCCGACACAGGCCCTCGGCTTCTGGAGTGCCATCTGTTGGTGCCACACTTAAGAATCCTGGCCAGGGCAGAGTAGAGAACTCGGCTGGGTGCGCTGACTGGCAGCACATCATCGTGAGCATGTTGGCCGACGTGGCCAAGGCCGTGACCCACCATCCACCAGTCTTCGGCGCATCGGACATGCGGCATAGCTGCTATCTCAAGCGGGCCCTGGGCCCCCGACAACTCCCAAACTAAGTCCGTAGACGCGCTTCTCAGAGCTATCCCACAGCCCCTTAGCCGCAACTCCTCGTAGGAGCCGAACTTGCTTGCCGGGAAATGCTACCGCTGCGCCCCCGCGGGCAAGACATGGCCTTAAAATACTTTGAAACAGGCGTGATCGCTGTTTCGGCTTGGCTGTAATATGCTTCAACCCATGGCGACGAAACGTGAATCTTGCGCACCGCTTGGCCCTAGTCTTCAGCGCTCTGGGGCCTGTGCGCTTCCTGTCAGAGGTGAAGTCCATTCCTACATGGGCGATGCTTGCAGCGCCCCCCCCCCCCCTCCGAGGTCCCCAAGGAAATCTGAAGCACGAGAAAGCAGAGGCCCACTCGAGGCCGCCATGGCAAACTTGCCAACAGCCATGGGGAGCCCCAGATTTTGCCCGGCAGGGAGCACCCAGTCCGCACTGGCAACCCACACCTGCGAGAGGGGGAACAAGTCTATTCGCAGCGGCTCCGCTGTCTGGTCTGGCCAGCCTTCAGCTCGAGTTTCCATCCCAGGCTTTTTAATAAAACTTAGCCTCGTGCGTCGCCGCACTACCACCTGCTACCAGCCCTCGGGTCGCCCAGAAATCAATGGAGATAATGCCATCATAAAGGAGGTTGCGAACCCAACCATATGAGGCGAGGGGGGAAATCCAGGAGGTCGAAGGGGGTAGTTCGCAAGCTCGGCATAGTCTCTGAGTCGATCCCTGGGCGCATGCTCGTTCAAGCGTTTGATGCCCCAGCGCAAGTTTAAAACGCGCAGCTCGGCCTCGGTAGCTTCCTCGGCCCTCACAGAGGCCCTCCAGACTGAGCCCGCGGGGGAACGCTTCTCGGCGGCAGAGAAGTAGCCCGCCACCCCGCATTCAGCCTCCCACTCCCGCACGCGATGTTTTTGAACCGCACCGAACAGCCGGGGGGAACTTTTAAAATGGCCTATCGGTCGACGAGGATTTCCATCACCGCCCTTCGGCATTAGCATCATGTCAAGCGAGCACACGGAACGAGGCGCGCCACCTACCACGCGCATCACCTGGAACAGAGGTGATACTATATAAAGAGCTCTGCCATTCAGAAGAGCGCAGTGTCTTGGATGGAATCCGTCTAGGCGGCAAGTGGATTCCTTGAATCTCCGAGAGCAGTCACGCATGTGGTCGACCGATGGAGGCTTGGGCACCCTGGTTAGTGGGCCTCTGGGCCCCCAGGCGACTTCGGGCGCCGACAGCTGAGCCCGCCAAGCAACTCTCCAAATATTCTCCTGGGCCTCAAGACGGGCCTCGACACAGAGAGAGGTGAGGATGGAGGAGGCCTGAGAGGGGCCCCCTGGGGCCCAGGCGCGAAACTTGGGTTGGCCCTTCAAATAACGGCGCGCGGAATTCGCACCGCCCTCGAATGGCTCGGCACACCGCTCGCCCCACCGCCGAGCCGCTGCAGCTCGAGGTGAGAGGTGAACCTGGTCTCATAAACTGCACAAGCTCTAACAGTGGCGTTAGGCTTTCAAGTCCGAGCTGCCTGTTGGACATAGCCTGGCAGGCAAACTGACACAGAAGCGGGCGCCAAAAGGCCCCCCCCCTTGCCAAGAGAGACGGAACGGGCCGCCTCTCAGAGGGAGCCTGTACAACTGGTCCACGAGCCTGTTCACGTAGCCGCTGTCGAACCTGTCTTCGTTCTTGCAGATCGTCTGAAGTTCTGCCAATCTGTGCGCCAACCAATTTGTGCGCCACCCATGTGTTCTGCCAATCTGCGCGCTTAGTTTTGACACCATTGAGGACTGTTCGCAACTGTGCCGCGTGTCCGCCGTCGAGCTGATCCGAATACTTCGTGGTGGCGCCCTGGATGAGTTGGTTGAGCGCGCCAACGACACCCAGTTATGGCTTGGGTCCTCCTTTGGGAGCTTTGCCTTTCTTACCAGCGCCATTCCACCAACTGTTGATATCAGTCCGAATTCCTTTCCCTCGTGTCTGATACCCAACATCCACATGTTTGAGCACTGTCCCGCAAGCATAACACCACTTGTAATAACCAGGGTTGCGGCGACAGCCACAGCCCGAACAAACCGTGTTTCCGCGAGGCCAAACATCATCCTTGCCTGCCATACAGGCTTGCAAAATAAATGTGGGGATGGAACGAGAAAGGTGGGTACGTTAAACAAACTGGTGTGTGGAAGCCGATGGGGCCGCGTCTCCCCTTGCCAGAAAACTCGCGTCCGCTGCTGACACTCGAGCCAGGCTACGGATTTGAGCCAACATGGCTACGGAGCCTGTTCCTCCTCCTCCTCCTCCTCCTCCTCCTCCTCCTCCTCCTCCTCCTCCTCCTCTTCCTCCTCCTCCTTTTTCTCCTCTTCCTCCTCCTCCTCCTCCTCCTCCTCCTCCTCCTCCTCCTCCTCCTCCTCCTCGTCATCCTCTTCCTCCTCCTCGTCCTCCTCCTCCTCCATCCTGAGCGGCGAGGCGAAGCGAGGCTGCCCCGTCCAGGGCGGCGCGAGGGAGCTTGCCTCCCAGGGGGGGGGGGGGGCGGCGGCGGCGGGGAGCGCTGCTGGGGGTCCTCTGGCGCGCAGGGCGGCGGCGCGCCCGTCAGCGCGGCCTCGGCGGCGAGGGAAAGGGGAGGGAAAAGGGGAGAGGGGGCAGGGCTGCGCCTCGCCAAGAGCGCGCCTGGGGTGCCAGGATCGTCCCGAACGGCCGCCGGGGGCCCTAACTGTGGCCCGAAAACTTACGTGTAGGCCTTGGGGAGGAGGGAGGAGGGAGGAAGGAAGGAGGAGGATCACTGACCAAACTGCCAGGTCTGTGACCGGGCCGCCACTAAACGGTTCCTTGGGTGGGTCACGGCAAAGCCGAGGAACTGCCAATGAGGAGGGAGCGAGGACTTCGTTCCAGAATCCCTCCTCCCTCCTCCTCCCTCCTCCTCCATTCCCCAGGAGAAGCAGCGAACCAAAAAGAACATGGGGAACATAGGGCTTCCTCCCTCATCCATCCCCCTTCCCTTTTTGTTCCCTCCTCCCTCCCTCCCTCCCTCCCCCCTTCACAATTACTCAATATGAATACTACTCTCCCTCTTCCCCCGATGGCGGCCTGAAAGTAGCCGACCCCCCCCCCGCGTCCTGCTTTTTTACACACAGGATTCCCGGGAGTTGGGTTTTCGCCTGCATTTTTTCAAAATGCTGCTCTCGCCGAGGCGCTGGCCTGATTTTCGGGCCCCGCTCGTTCCAAATCGTGCTCCCGCTGCAGCGCTGGCCTCATTTCCGTGCTTCCGCTCGTTCCGAATCGTGCTCCCGCTGCAGCGCTGGCCTCATTTCCGCGCTTCCGCCCGTTTCGACTCGTGCTCCCGCTGCAGCGCTGGCGTCATTTCCCGTGCCATGCCACAGCACACGCGCACACACGCACACACACACACACACACCACCACCATCACCACCACCACCACCACCACCACCACCACCACCACCACCACCACCACCACCACCAGCACCAGCACCACCACCAGCACCACCACCACCACCACAACCACGCACACACGCACGCACGCACGCACGCGCACCACCACCCACTAGTCCGCGGATAGAGAAAATCAGCGCCATGGTAAGGGGGATGGGAGGGAGGGGTAGGACGTCAGATATGACGCGCGCGCACCTAGCTTGCCTTCTCCCCCTCCCCCCCTCCTCGTCGAGGAGGGAGGGGAGGAGGGAGGAGAAGACGGAGGAGCAGAGGGAGCAGGAGGGGCCGGGCGGCAAGGCGAGTGCGGGAGCAGGAGGAGCAGGAGGGCGAGGAGCACCGGGAGAGGGGGGGGAGGAGGGAGGGCGCAGAAGGCCCAGCGCCGCAGGGGAAGGATCCACGAGAGGGAGCAGCAGGAGGAGCAGGAGCAGCAGGAAGAGGAGCAGGATACGGGCGGGGGGGAGAGGGGGGCGGGGGAGCAGAAAGGGAGGGAAAGCGGGGGGGAGGAGGAGGAGAGAAGGAGAAGGAGGAGGAGGAGGAGGAGGAGGCGGAGGCGGAGGCGGAGGCGGAGGCGAGGCGTAGGCGGAGGCGGAGGCGGAGGCGGAGGCGAGGCGTAGGCGGAGGCGGAGGCGGAGGAGGAGGTGGAGGAGGAGGAAACCGATGGTGATTTAACGACTTCTGCTGCCCCTCGAATTCCACATTGTTTTGAATGTTACCAGAGTGCCTCTGGATTTACCTCGATATATCTGGATGTAAGCCGATGCTCGATTCGCGCGTGGACCTCACCTCTGAATGTCCCTGAACTCATCTGGATGTACGTCTACGTGCCTGGATGTTCCACATATCTATCTATATATATATATATATACACAAACATACCAGAAAAAAACATACATACACATGTATACATGCATGAAATTATGCGTATATGCATACGTGAATGCGGACATACGCATATACATACATACATACATACATACATACATACATACATACATACATACATACATACATACATACATACATACATACATACACACATACATACATACATACATACACACATACATGCATACATACATACAGACATACATGAATACAGACATACATACATACATGCATACAAAATACATAAATGCATGCATGCATGCATGCATGCATGCATGCATGCATGCGTGCATGCATACATACATACATACATAAATACGTACATGCATGCATGCATGCATGCATGCATGCATGCATGCATGCATACGCACGTGCGTACATACACACATACATACATAAATACATACATGCATGCATATATACATACACTGATACATGCATAGATGCAAACATACAGTCATACATGCATGCAAACATACATACACATACACATACACATACACACATACACACATACATACAACCACACATATGTGTACGCATGCATGCATACATACATACATGCATACATGCATACAGACATGCATGCATGCATGCATACAGACATGCATACATACATACTTACATACAGACATACAGACAGACAGACAGACAGGCATACATGCAGACACGCATACATACATAAATGCATACATACATACATACCTACATACATACAGACAGACAGACAGACAGACAGACCTGTATACGTACATACATGCATGCATGCATACATGCATGCATTCACACATGCATGCATACATACATACACGCATTGCATACAGACAGACAGACAGACATACGTACGTACGGATGTACATATATATATATATATATATATACAAATATAGGTATACAAACATACATACATAAATGCATGCAGACATGCTTACATGTATATATACATACATAACTACAGACGTATATGCATGCTTACACAGACCTACCTACCTACCTACCTACCTACATACAGACATACATACATACAATCAAACATGATGCATGCCTGCATACCTGTATACATACAGACATGCATACATGCATACATACATATATATATAACCTGCATTTACATCATATATATATACATGTATATGAAAATACAAACACACATGAAAAGATGGCTTGATTTCCGCAAATCGGAAAGAAAAAACAAGCACTTAGCAGGATGGCCGCGAATCGAACCGAGACCGAAGACCGTGACCGGACCGGACCGAACTGGGCCAAGACTGAGAACATCAAAACCGAACCGGACCGAACAGAACTCTCGCATGACCGGACCGGTTGGAACCGTACCGCACCAAAACCGCAACCGCACAGACCCCCCCCCCGCCGAACCGAGACATGAATCCAACCCGACGCCCCCCACACCGAACTGACACCCCCTTTGCCTCCCGTGGCCCCGCCCAGCACCTCCTCCTCCTCCTCCTCCTCCTCCTCCTCCTCCTCCTCCTCCTCCCCCTCCTCCTCCCCCTCCTCCTCCCCCTCCTCCTCCTCCTCCATGGTGCACATCAGCTCCTCCTCCTCTCCGTTCTGTAAAGGGCACCGAGCTCCATCCCTGGAACTGTTGAACACTTGTCAAACGAATGTGCGGCAGAGCGCCGTTTTGAAGAGCAGCCGCCCTCAATCCCTGCAACTGCTGCAAGCTTTCGAGACGAATGTGCGCGGCGTTACAGGGAGAGCCGAATCTTGAAGACCGCCCGCCCTCCATCCCTGCAGCAGTTGCAAGCGTCAAGCTTCATGATCATACACGGCGAGGGAGCCTTGGGCGAAACGACCAGCCCGCCCTACCGACACATCTGGAGGTCAGACGCAGAAGTTGGACCTACAGGAAAGGGGGTGGAGGAGGAGGGGCAGGAGGAGGAGACGACTGTAAGAGAGGAGAAGGAGAAGGAGGAGGAGGAGGAGGAGGAGGAGGAGAGGGAGGGGAAACCCTGGTAAATCCTCCGGCCAAGCGCCTTCCTGAACCAGGCATCTCAAAGGAGTGGATTGCACATCGTCCGAAAACCTGCATCTGTCGAGGCGTGCCTGAATTGCACCTCAGACAGCGCAATTTGGGAAAGCGGCAAACATGTGCACGCCTGCACCGATGCTGCATAAAAAGAGAAATGAGAGAGAGAGAGAGAGAACAAAAGAGAGAGAGAGAGAGAGAAACATAAAACAAACAAACCAACAACATGAGAGAGGTAAACAGGGGGAGTGTCGAGAGAGAGAGAGAAGAAAGAGAAAGAGAGAGAGAGAGGGAGAGAAAAACCAAAAGAGACCACACATTTCACCAATTCGGAAAAGCCATCACGAGCCGTGCACACATACACACACACACAAGTGCCAAACTCCACAACATAGAATGATCGCACACTCGATGTACACATAAAGACGCCAGCCACCACCCTCACAGCCACGGGCATCACCACCGTTGCCTGCGCTGACAGCCCCAAAAATGGTCGAAGAGAAACGGAAACACCAAAAGATGCTTCGCAAAAGCGGCACCCGCACATGGGCTGCAAGCGAGGGGGGGGAGTCAGCAGGAGGAGGCTTTCTCAGAACGCGGCGGGGTTTTTCAGGAGCTCTCTGGCCTTCTGACATGGTTTTTATGTCGTCGGGAAACGAAAATTGTCATAACGCGGGGGGGCTCCCGAGCCTTCTGAGAAGGCCCGCCCCTTCTCACGTCCCCCCTGGGCTGGCGGCCGAACACCATTCCATCCCCCCTCCTGCCACCCCTCGGCCTCCGTGATGGCGCAGCGCCCAAACTGGGGCCCCTCCGCCATGCTCCTGCCTCGGCGCACGCAGCGAAGCGGGGCTGCGGCAGCAGCGGCAGCAGCAGAAGCAGCAGAAGCAGCGGCGGCGGTGGCACGAACGGAAGCAGCAGCTGCAGCGACGGCGACTGCGACAGAGAAGCTACGGCCGCGGCGGCGGGGAGGAAAGCCGAAGGGGAGCTGTCAAAAGGAACTAGCAGAGAAGGCCGACCGAGGCAAGGTATCGACGCGGAAGGGCAGGAGCGAGCCGTGCACACTGGCAGAATGGCGAACGACGCGTGGGTTGGCACCCAACAGGTGGACCCGACGCTCGCCCCGAGCCGTCACAACCAGCCTCCTTCCTAGACTTGAGCGCGCAAGGATGGACTGCCTGGGACGAGCCGGACTGACACACCAGCGGGGGTGTGCTTTTCTTTTGCGTCGGCGGCTACGCAGAGTAACTGCGCTGGCGGAAGAGCT